TTGTATTCCAGATTTTCAATTCATAAAATCGAATGGCAATTCTCCGTCTACCGTAACTAATATACTTATTAGTAAAAATATAAACAAAATAATAAATAAATATATTAAAATTAAAACTAATAAATAAAGTATTAAATGTGAAATTATAAAATAATAAATAATTAGTTAATTTTTTGATATAAATGTAAATAAAATTAATTAAATATTATCAGAATATTCTACTTATTTAATATATATTTTAAGCAACAAATCATAAGTTTTTATCAGCTAATGCATTGACTTAAAGGCCCAGGTGCGCCCGATTTAAAAATGTATTTATTGTCCCATCCATCAGTAATCTATCATTTCGAATAACATGTAATTTTATATACTCTTCTGTACAACTCTGACTTAAGCCAAAAAGTCAATGACAAAGTCGGCAAAATCCATGAAAGGAGTTCACAATTGGAGATGAAACCCAAGTCAAATAGCCTTCAGCAACTGCCAAAAGCCAGCAACAAATCTCAAGCGAATGGAAGTGCAGAAATGCCTTGCGCAATGGGCAGAAGAAAAAAAAAACCAAGAGATAAATAGAAAAATTCCCAGCGGTGCAATAAAATGACAAGTATTCGTATCTCTATCTCTAGTTGGAAAATGCATCTGCATCTGCATGCCTGCGGGCCTGTGTGCTGCACACCTGAAAAGGCGACGGGCCTCCGCCATGACGATGATCGATGATGTGTTGTAATGCCGATTCGGGTTGACGGGGAATGCTCAGAGTACCTTCAAGTGTCAGACAGATCGGAGAGACACAGGGACTGGACTGGACTTAATCGATTGCCAAGCCACTCGCCAGACTTTGAGGCGCAGTTGTGACAGCCTCGCCAGCTTAATTAAACTGCACACATTAATACACACACACTGACACACGCACATGCGTAGATTTATAAATGGGCCTGTTGAAGGTAATTTTGTATCTGCAAGATACTTAAGTATCTAGAAACTCGTTGCTACTGCGCAGTAGCTGTGCCAAAATGTTGATCATCCCCTAAGAAGTATACTAGAGGCCCACCTGGCAAAACATGCCGTAACTTAATTTGGGTAGCTAAAATTGAGAGCACTGTTGCCAACTGGTGCTGGCTTTTGATGTGCCTAAGATGTAGCTGGTTGTTGGCCAATTACCAAGAAGCATGAAATTTGTATGCCTTGCCATAGAGCTGCAATTTCAATTTACCAATTTTGCGGCAGTTGCTCAAAGTGCGCATTGAAACGCAAAAAATGAAAGATTTATCCCCTCCGCTTGTGTATCTGACAGATTTTACGGCTACACCTTTCCATGCGTATTTAGTCAGCAAATTGATCCTCCTACATGGCCCTGAAGCAGGTAGGCAGCTGTCCCTCTCATGCTGCCTCTCCCTCTTCCTTTCCCACTCCTCCCTCACTCACCGACTCACTCACTCGCTCATTCCCTCAATGCGGCACGGTGCGCAGTTTAATCCTCACAAATCGCCTACAAAGCTGATTGCGCACCGGCACGGGCACACCTGGCCTCGGTGCTCGGTGGCCCCGACCTGAATGGAGGGTTGCTGTTTTGGTCCTCTTCGGCCTGTCGTCCTGATTTGCAGTAGCGGTGTCGTGTTTTGTTCTAATTTTCTGAAATTCTGATTACAGTTTTTTTTTTTTCGCAGCGCAGATTCCGTTGGCCGTCGGCTCAAATTTAGTGCAGCATTTCCTGGAGGCTTAGACCGAATTATAAGGAATACTGTGCCTAGGCATGGGCCTGAGCATAAGCCGTGGACGAGTTGACTTGATGGCTGTCAGCGGTCGGCAGAGTCCAAAGCAATGGGTCTTCAACTAAATATCTAAAACAAAATAATAATATTTCTGCAGTGTTCAAATTCCAATTCAGGTTCCGATAAATAATGGGAAATCTTAATAAATATATGAAGAACTTTTTTCAAATTGTATAGCGCATGCCCCACGCTTTGCATCTGCCTGTTATCCAGCAGCCCTAACGTAACCCCCCACACTTCAAAAAATGTCAGCATAACTCATATAAATCAATAGTTTAAACACAACCCACCCCTTTCTGGCATGAGGCATTTGGGTCCATTCCGCAATCCGCGCAGCTGCCACATTGAATGCCGCTGCGCAGGCGCAAACTGACAGCCCGAATGGCTGACAGCCTGGCAACCATGGTGAAAACACCTTTTAAGCGCCGCGCCGTGTGCCGTGTGTGCGCCATATAAATAACATAAATTTTCTATGAAAAACCTCTTCAGATGGCACAAAAAAAAAAATATTGTGTATAAGAAAAGAAAACTTCCATTCAAGTTCCATGGCATCTACGCGATCGTCGTCACCTTTTGATAACCCTGGGCAACAATGGATACGATCGCATTGTCTCCACATCTTTCGCGATCGTTTCGTGCGTTTTGGCATTGTTTCGGTCTGTGAATCGAGTGATTCGGGTTTGCTCAATGTACCAAGCGACATAAGAACCCAACACGTGTTGCAATTCATTCAAGTTTCTGTTTTTATTATTATCAATATTATTTACAGAAAAACGTCAGCACATTGGCGCTGATTTATTGATTTGGATCGGGCCAAGGCGAACAGCTGCCATTTTAGCTTATTTGTAAGAGTGGGGCGCAGAGAAAAAGCAGGGGACTCATAACAATATTAAAACATGCAAGAAATAAAATTGGAAAGTAAATGTCACATTAAAGAATTTATATTCATAGCTGCTTTTAAAGCTGTTGATAAGGATCAAACTTACCAAGTCAAGATCATTAAAAAAAGTAAAGATTCTAAATTTTTATATTAGAATAATTTGAGCATTTTAAAAAGAGAATAATAGGAAAGATTCGGGAATCTTCAGAGGCCAATTTACTTAAAATAGTACCTTTAGAAAAATGATACCAAACATAATTTAAAAACAATAATAGTAATTGTTGTACTCCTCAAACTTACTTTAAAATAGCTTTCTTAGCAAATCTTAGCAAAAAACGGCTGCCCACAAAGCTAAATCGAAAAATTGAATGCTAAAAATGCTTTTAAGAGAGTAAAAGCGAAAAAAAGAGAGCCTCAGCACGTCTACATTAATTTATTCATGTAGTAGTAAACTACTTACAAAAATATGTGTAGATCATATTTTAAACCTTAAAGAAAAATTAAGATCTTATAAAGGTTCTAAGTATTTGTTTTAGATATTAATTAAAATTAAATAATGGTGTAAATATATATTTTAAATTTTCTAAATGCTTTAAAGTCATTTAAATTTCGTAAATTAATAACAGAAAAACTTTCTACGCTTTAATTTAGTTAATTAATTTAATTGAAAATTTTTGCAATTATGTGAATTCTGTCTGCGCTTAACACTGACTGACTTTGAAATTAATTTAAAGAAAACATCAAACGAGCACAGAAATACACATTTATATATATATATATATATATATGTACATACATATGTGAGTATTTATATGTATTCGCTACACGACTTACAGTTGTCCATGTCCCATGAACCCAAACGGTCTTTGTTCTAGTCGAGCCTTACTTGCGACTCAGTCTATGCGACATGCCGCAAAAACACATCCTGTGCCATGTTGCCAGCCCCACTGCCAAGCCCCCTCCAACTCGACCACTCGAAATCGTAACCAGAGCGCTGACCAACGTGTGCAGCCAGGCAAGAAACCAAAAACGAGGCAACAACATAAAATAAACTCACATGTTTAGTTAACTTCTCATGTGCAAATTAAAACCGAAGCATAACCGAAAAACAACTAAGAGACTCCGTCCCCTTCTCTACACTGGACGCGCCCTTAACTAACTCCCAGGTACTTGGCTTCTGGCCATGACTGGACTGGACTGGACTATGGGCTGGACTAGGCCCTTCCTGTGCAGCCAAAGCATTATGCAGTGGATTTTTAATTTCTCGTCTGCCCTTAAAGATTGAGCCAAACGAGTTTCAACTTCATGCCATTGCATACTTTCGGGCGCATGCAAATGTCACATTGCTATGCAACACACACACGCACACACAGAGAGGGACAAACAGACGCACACACTCGCTCACATGTGCACAGTTTAGAGTTCTTTTTTGTCGGCTTTGGCATGTTTGCAATTTGAAATGATTTCAACAGGATGCCGGCGTGTCCAGTGCACTTTAGCTTTAGCTTACTTCGCCTAACAGGAAGAAGCATGCACAAACAATAACAACAACAAGAACAACAACAATAACACAAAACAACTGGCATACGAGTCAATGACTAAGGGCGCCCCCAGCAATCAGTAGCTGCTTCATCTACAACACAAACAAAATGTATCCTTCGACTTCCTCTATTTGTATAACCCACTCTCTCCAGCAACAGTCACAAGCCAAAAATAAACTCAAAAGTTGTTGGCACTTTGACCGCTACAGTTATAAATGCACTCATATGCCATGTTAATATTTATGCCCTGGAAAATTGCTAAACAAAGGGTATTCCGATTTGGTAATTGTCGTGCAATCAAGTTTTCACATAAACCCTATATTTCGGCTTGTTACACATGCACTTTTTTAAAATAAATGCCCTGGAATTGGGTATAAACGATTTACGCACATTTTTCCAAAAAATGTAAATAGATTAAAGGAAATTGTAAGATATGCCGAAGATGAAAGACCCTTGTAGACAAATGGTTGACAGTTTTATAGATATATCTAGAAAATTTTGAAGCTCTAAGTTGCTAGGTTAAAAAGAAACGGAAAATTGTTTCATACAAAAACAAATTTTTCGAGCGATCCTTTAATGTAGGTCTATGATATATTGATTAGATTTTAAAATGATTTTTTATATTTCAGGAGCTTGTTAGAGGTCGGAGATGCCAAGTTTTGATGAATATTTTGTTCCATAAGAACTTAATTTTTGACCTATCATTCCTTTGTTAGCTTTATGATATAGTAAAATTTCATGGCGATAGATCTTAAATTTGTTTGAAAAGGAACCAATAAACGGAAAGTCATACTTGGATGTACTTACCAACTCTGATGCTGATACTGATCAAGAATATGAAGTATATTTATACTTTACGGGATCGGATGTCATCTTCTATACGATACACATTTCATGATAGAGTTAAAATACGATCTGTCAACTGCAAATATACATGGCCTGTAAAGTAATATATAGAGAGTATATTGAAAATGATGAACTTAAGTGAGGTTCAAATAATTCCTTTAAACTATTAACAATTTTTAAAACTACAATACAACACAAATATAATCAAGTAATATTTGAAACAAGTACAAAACTGGACAATTTAATTCTTAAAAGCATACCTAAATAATTATATCAATATCAATTAAGTGTTATTGCAGGGTATCTCTACGTCTCTAAAGCCATTGTTTGATAGTTTTGTGCGTTGCAATCAATATCAAAAAACTTGTATTGATTTTACTCGAGGTTTGCGTGTTATCTAAGGCTTTTAATCAACCATAAATTTGTCTAAACATGCATTAGCACAGTTCAACACAGATAGTTGGTGTTCATTCGGCTTATATTTGGGTAGTTGGGTAGCTATTTGTAACGCGTACGAAGTCAGACACGCACTTTGTGGAGCATGTGGCATGTAGCATGCGGCTGTAGCCTGCGGCATGTGGCATGTATCTTTAAATCGTAAAATATGAAATTGCGTGCAAGTGTAAAATTATGCTCGTAATTTCGTTACAGTTCACGCATTATTCGTCTAACCATCTAATGGATTCCTAAGTAGTTTACTTTACGAGCATACGCCGTTTTTATTTTTTATTTTTCCCTGTATCTTTTCGTATGATTAATGCCAAAGGATACACGGATACAAGATGAGAATTTTGTATGTTTGTATTTAGAAAGAAGAACTTAATGCTTGGGTGGTAACGAGTTCTTAATATTTGTTGATGAATTCCCATTAATATTCAGCCCAAATCATTCAAGGTCAATGATTTATAACCATAAATCCTACAAAACTAAACAAATTTAAACATTCAATTAAATATTATAACTATACATGTTTAAAATGTTAGTACAAGTAACTCTTTTTGAAACACAAATTCTTTAAACTTGAATAAAATATTTAAAGAAAACAAAACATTTTTCGCATACCTTACAGAAATATCTGTAAAATTCTTAATACCACAGATGATCAAAAATGAAAACTTTCAAAAATGAAAACCACCAACAAATTAAATTTGGGAAATTATTTTTTTCGTTATAGTTGAGTGTTGATAAATGTTGATAAATGTTAAATATAGTATTAAGTCTTATTTTAATTGGTCGGCCATCAAAATACCCTTTAAGTTATTCCAAAGAAATTATTTTGTTTAAAATAACGTATGTAATATCTATAAACTTTGTATATTTCCAAACTCTTTATTTATTGGCAATATAATACAAATAATCTTAGGCCCAAAATGTATTTGAAAAACTTGAAATAAAATAACTTCAAGTTTTACAATTACTTATTATAATAAAATATTATAAATAATAAAATTTAATATATTAAAGTATCATAAAAATTAATTATATTTGTAAAAGCAAACTTGATATAAACAATACAATACTTTTTTTTTATTTCCGGCTATTTAGATTGCTCTTGAATTTGTTAGTTTCTATATTATCTAACTAGATTATCTAGAAGACGCACTTAAAGGCAAAAATAGACTTAAAGCAAATATTTAGCTACAGATAAATTTCAAAGTCATTTTTTTAAAATTTCATTTCTTTAGAGCTGCCACAAGGATACTTCACATACGGAAGCTGCAACAAGGCGGACGCAGTGAAAAGCAATTCAACTGACCGTACAAAGTGTGGACCCCATTGAAACGAAGTCTTCTTTCTTTTTTTTTGCTGTATGCTGATTGAATAAATCAACGCTCGAAAAATTCCAACTAAACTTAACGGTTTTCATTGGCCCTAAGCAAACAAAGTTGACTGTTAAACAAAACAGTAGCCGAAAATGTGAGCGTTATATAGAAGATCTAGGAGGGGAACTAGGGATGGGGACGGCGGCAAGGTTAAGGGAGGAGCGTATGTAGGGGACAGCACATGGCCAAATGCAAATACGAGTTTATAGTGAAAATTCAATGAAGCTTAGCAAACGTCTGTGTAGTCTAAACGACTAAACTTGCGCCACTAATTGGGCGTGTGACTTGCGAGGCAATGGGTGGATGGTCAGAGCGGGCAGGGTATGGGGTGTGCGAGTGTTTGTGGAAGGGTGTGGGTGTGTTGGTGTGTGTCTGGGTGTGCTATGTGCATCAATGAACCGTAAAGCTATTTCGTCATTTAACGTTAAAAGCAACGAGCGCACAAAGGCGGCCCGACAAAAATGCGACCAAAGTGAAAAAACTAATTTGCGCTGCTTCAAAAGCAAACACTGGCAAGGAGGCAGAGGTGACTGCCTGGAGGGGTAGGTGTGTGTGTGTGTGAGTGTGTGAGTGTGTATAGGGGGGCAGATGTATGCTGGCTAAAGAAAAACATACACGTATTTTGGCCAAGCAAAAAGAAAATTGGGTAGCGCTGAGTGCTAACCGAAAAAGTTTTTCATTTATGCCCCCCCTCCCATCACAAAAATGGTGGCAACGTCGTGTAGGTGCACAAAAGGTGGCACCTACAGGCAGCAGCCAAGAGCAGGAGCAGGAGCAGCAGTACCAGCACCAGCTCCACCAGCAGCAGCCAATATGATGACGTGCAGCACAGTTCCAGTTCCAGTTCCCTCAGCAAAGAGCTGCTGTGTTTGCCCTGCCTGGCATGTCAATATTGCATAAGAGGCGCCACGGGCGGTGCAGACTGCCAAGTGGGAACGGAAAGCTGTGGAGCTCTGCTGTAGTTAACGCGCAGCTTTACTTTGTGGCAAGGTAGGGAACAGGGTGTATGTGTGTGTGTGTGTGTGCCTGGCCTGAACCGATGTCAATCAAAAATTCCCATAACCAATGCAGCGCTTGCTGTGTGTGTGTGGGTTGTGCGTGTGTGCGTGTGTGTGTGTGTGTGCGTGTGTGCCTGGCTGCTTTATGAACGCTTTTGGCACATGTGGCGCATAAAAAACGAGACGAGAGCAAGACGAACCAAAATGGACGAGATGTGTCAGTGGGTGTTCACCTTCCCGTTTCGTTGTGTGGCCAAGAAACTTGCGCTGAAAAGGATTTCGTCCTGCGTCTTTCACTAGCCCCTGACGAGGACACACACACACACACACACACACACACACACACTCATAAACTAACCCAACCACTCACCCACCACAGCTGAAGGCAATCCGGCCAGCATCAACCAACCAAAGGCAACGCCTTTGCAATATTAAATTGCCAAAAAAAAAAAAAAACAGAGAAAAAAAATCAATTAGGAACATGTCAAACTGCAGGAAAAGCTGGTTTTGAAAATTGGTGTCAGCAGCAAATTTAATTTCAAGTTTTTCTCCATTTTACACGCTGCTCATGTGGCGTTGACGGACAATGCCCGGAAAATGAAGTTGATATAAAGAATAGCTGAAACAGTTAGTGTGAGTGCATGAAGCCCTTTCACTCTATCCTCTCTCTCTCTCTCTCGCTAGCTAGTTGCAAAGGACGAACGGTGTTGATAGGAACATAATGCATGGAAATAAGTTTAAATACTAAATACTTTTAATAAATAAGAAAAAATAAAACCTTAGTTCACATAATCAACAAAGAAGTATAAACATTTATAGTACAATATTAAAAATCAAATATTTGGGTACATGTTTTAACAATTTTTCCGCGACATAATTTGTTTGTAGTAATAAACAATTACTTCGATTCAAATTTATTAGACGTAGAATACTATTAAATTCTCCGAGGATATAGAGTTTTTGGTTCTCTGCTTTGATTGATATACCAATCTATATCTAAACAGATAATCATAAAGCATGTTCAATAAATTATTTTAGCTTGTTCGACTTTTGATATGTACTTAACTTTATTAAATCAACCTAATTTGTAATAAAAATGCATTTAAAGTTAATTTAATGCCGACAGCGGGCGGTAAATATTTAAAAATGTAATGTTCTGTATATTATATTATTCACAGAGAAAGTCGGATAATTATTACCTTTATTTAATCGAATTATTATCTAGTTTTAAATGAAAAAAAAATCGAAAAAATTGATATACAAATCTCTATATATAAAACTGTTTGTCCTGACTGACTGACTGACTGACTGACTGACTGACTGACTGACTGACTGACTGACTGACTGATTGGTGATCAACGCACAGCCCAAACCGTAAGAGCTAGGAAGCTGAAATTTTCACTGTAGCTACCTTATGTGATGTAGGTGCACGTTAAGACGGGGTTTCGGGAAATTCCACTCGCAAGTGTGGAAAAATCGCGAAAAACGTTTGTATGTAACTTTTTTGTTTACCATCCGATCGGCCTCAAACTTATTTTCAAAGATCTTTGTTCAAATTCATTTGAGGGGTGTTTCACACTTTTCGAAAAATCCGTTCCTCCTTGGTGGAAATGGAGGTCAAAGATTTGGTGGGTGACGTTTCGCGCTCAAATTCATTTCCAGATATCTATAAGAAAAATCATTTGAGACGTGTTTCACACTTTTCGCAGAATTCAAATGCGATTTAAAGATTTTTTGGGTGAAGTTTTAAGTTGTGTCCGATTTGCTTCAAACTTATTTTCGAAGCTCTACATAAGAACTTAATATATACGTATTTCAGCGATTTGGGAAATTCCACCCGCAACAGTGGTAAATTGGCGGAAAACGGTTGTATGAAAGTTTTTAGTTTACCATCCGATCGGCCCCAAACTTATTTTTAAAGATCTTTGTTCAAATTCATTTAGGGGTGCTTCAGACTTTTCGAAAAATCCGTTCCTCCTTGGTGGAAATGGAGGTCAAAAATTTGGTGGGTGACGTTTCGCGCTCAAATTCGTTTCCAAAGTTCCATAAGAAAAATCTTTTGAGACGTGTTTCACACTTTTCGCAGAATCCAAACTTTTTCGGGTGGAATGCGACTCAAAGATTTTTTGTGTGAAGTTTTAAATTGTGTCCGATTTGCTTCAAACTCATTTTCAAAGCTCTACATAAGAATGTAATGAATACGTGTTTCAGCGATTTGAGAAATTCCACTCGCAACAGTGGTAAATTGGCGGAAAATGTTTGTATGAAAGTT